ATATGGCTGGTAGGACATGGCTGTCATGGGGCCCGCGGTGGTAGGGCGTGAGGGTACGGGTAGAGGATGTTCATGTCTGTCTGGATGGGATAGGGGGCTGGGAAGATGCCTGGGTTAGGCATTGAGGGGGAGCGCATGTTCATGCGGTTGTTTGCGGTGGCGGAGTGTGGTTGTTGTTGTTGATGTTGCTGTTGCTGCTGTTGTTGCTGGGCGCCATTGGCAGAGGGCTGGATGCGGTGGCGGTCGGAGAAGCTGTTGTATGATTTGGAGGAAGGGAAAGGGTGTTGTGGGATTGGAGCAGAGTGGTATGAAGAAGAAGAAGCAGAGGCTGAGGAGGTTTGGGTGGTTCCAGCAGCAGTGGTAGAGTTGTTGTTGTTGTTGTTGTAGTTGGAGTGGCCGCCTCGACCGCCGCGGTAGCCACCACGGCCTCCTCGCTCTGAGCGGGATTCACGCGTGTATTCGCGGGAGTACTCGCGGTCCTTGGAGAACTCCTTTTCTCCTCTGGGCTGGTAGTCCTTGAAGAACTCGCCGGAGCGAGCACCCATGTCGAACCGCCTGTCGTGGTTAGCGTATCTGGAGTGGCCGCTGCCAGCATGGGAGTCTGAGTTGGCCTGTCTGGAGGCGTGCTGGTCTGGATGGGCGTTCTTGTAGGAGGAGGAGCTGTTGTCGTGGGACTTGTGGTAGGACTTGGAGTGGTGAGGACGAGTAGGAGACTGAGAAGACGAGGTAGGGTCGGAAGTAGTAGTAGTAGTAGTAGTAGCAGCGACAGTAGCAGCGGTGTTGATGCTGTTCTGGGCTGGCTTGTTGTCCTTGGTTGATTCAGAGGGAGCACCAGCAGCATCACCATTTTTCAGGGTTGCATCAGCAGCGGTAGAAGTGGCAGACTTCTGCGCAGACTCTGTGGCATCTCCCTTTTCACGTTCTCCGGCAGAGGAGGGCTTCGACGAAGATGTAGAAGCGGCAGCTCTATCACCACCGCCTCTGGAGCCACCACCTTCACGCGCACTGCCGCCTCTGGGACCACCACCACCACTCCGGCCACCTCTCCTGGCAGCGGGTGGCAAGGGAGTATTGAAGACGGCCGTGGGCACGTATGGGACAGGCATCCATTTCTCCTTGCCGTGGGTTCTAGAGCCAGCTGGCTTCTCCTTTTCGGTCCGTTCCGGCTTGTCAGCTTGGTCCTGAGCCTTGCGCAGGTCTTCACCCTGAGCAGTCTGTGGAGTTGGCCAGGAGGAGGCGTCGTTGACTGGTGGGAGGGATTCACCCTCTTTAGCCGGCCGAGCACTTTTTCTCGATCCTATATATTATTAGCATATATATATATATATATATATAAAGAAAGGGAGAGAGAGAGAGACACACCGTCGGTGGCCTTCTTTTTGTCACGGGGATCCGAGGCAGCGGGATCAGCCTTCTTCCTGCTGCTGCCCTTGTAGTGTTCAGACCTGACGTCGCCTGACGGGGTCTGAGTCGAGGTAGTCTTGGTAGATGGAGTGACAGTGGTAGTGGCAGCAGGTTTCAGGGCGTTGGCCTTTGCCTTGGCCTCCAGGGCCTCCTGTCTTTGCTGCCAGATGTTGACTGCCGGCGGTGGAGCAGCCTTGAGCTCTTTCTGCTCTTTCTGCTGTTCTTTTT